AAAAAAAAAAAAAAAACCAAACATAAATGTTCACCTCCCTCAGGATGTTCACCTCCCTCAGGATGACTTCCAGGATTAGCCCTGCCTCCTGTCCCATTCTCTGCCCCTTTGGGGCCCCTCCAGGATCCAACCATGACCCTTGCCTGGGGAGGGGAAGGCCTGGGAGCAGGCAGTGCCCGGCGCCCTCCCCCTCTGTCTTTTGCCCCCTAGAGATCCTGGCCCAGCCTGAGGTTATGACCAACAGCACAGCACTGGTGGAGCGCCGAGACACCCTGCACCTGATGTGCAGCAGCCCCGGCCCCGCCAAGGTCCGCTGGTTCTTCAATGGCGGGGCCCTACCCATCGACATCCGCCTTGGCCTGTCTCCCGATGGCCGGGTGCTGACCCGGCATGGCGTCCGCAGGGAGGAGGCCGGAGCCTACCAGTGTGAGGTCTCGAACCCGGTCAGTGTCAGCCGCAGCAAGCCCTTCAACCTGACTGTGTACTGTGAGTCCTCTTGGCCCCGCCAGGTACCCAGCGTCCAGCCCTCATAGATGGGGAGACGGAGGCCAGGAAGGGGGGCCCAAGGACACACAGGGAGTGATGAGCCAGGTTTAGGGACCAGGGATCCCTCTTACATGAATGCACTTGGTCCATCTCCTAAGGACTCAGGACCACCTTTGCACTTGATTAATCCTTCAGTCTGAAGCAAGAGCCGCAGGGAAGGGCACAGGACTGGTCGGCTTTGAGAGGGAGGAGGGAAGTGAGCAGTGGGACAGGAGGGGAGATCAAATAAAAAACATAACCAAAGTGTGGAGTCATTCCCAGGGGCTGCAGATATGCAGTGTGGAATCCGGGGGAAAGAAATCACTGAGGTACGCGAGGGCCGGTGGTGTAGAAAAACTTAGAGCCTAGAATCCTGCATCTGGGAAATTCTAGTGATTTAAGAAGCACTGAATTCTAGACTCTGAGACTGCTAGAAACTCTAGAAGCAGAGATTCTTCAAATTTTAGAATCTAATTCTAAAATCTTAGAACCACCCAACCTTAGAATCTTAGAAACCTAGATTTCTAGAATCTTAGAATCCTAGAGCCTGAGAAACATGCACTTTTAGAGCCCTAGAATTCTAGACTCTTAGAATGGCTTATCAAAAATCAATCGTTTTGACTTCCTCTTTTTTTTTCTTAATGGAGACATAGATTTCACAACAAAATTTCTTGAAATTTTGTCTGGCCCAGTACTTTCTTTCTGCAGAAGAGAAAACACAGATCCCCTGAGAGGGAAAGTGGTTCTCAAGATCCTAGAGCAAGTTAGAGACATGTGGGATTCGAAAAGGCCAGAGCTTTTCAAATCCACTAGGCCCAGATATTCCCAGAGGCACAGCCTGGTGGACAGAAAGCCAGCGGTGCCCACCCCTCCTCCCCTCTCCCTCCTGCCCCCGCAGTTGGCCCAGAACGCGTGGCCATCCTCCAGGATTCTACCACCCGCACGGGCTGCACCATCAAAGTTGACTTCAACACGTCCCTCACCCTGTGGTGCGTGTCCCGGTCCTGCCCAGAGGCCGAGTATGTGTGGACCTTCAACGGGCAGACCCTAAAGAATGGTCAAGACCACCTCAACATCAGTAGCATGACAGCGGCCCAGGAGGGCACGTACACATGTATTGCCAAGAACCCCAGGACCCTGCTTTCTGGATCGGCCTCAGTGGTGGTCAAGCTCTCTGGTGAGTTGCCCCCAGTCTGACCACTGCCCCATCCCCATGGAGGCTCAGTCGGACTGTGAAGGTCTGACTGCTCCACCAACAGTTAGGTGACCATTTGCCCAACAGACAATTGGAAAGTGAGAGACTCTCAACCCACTCATTGCTGGCCAGGTGACGAAGTGGCATCAGTGGACCTCTCTCCATCCAGGTGACAAAGGAGACAGTCCATACCTTGTCACCTGGTAAACAAACGACACATCACTCTTTTCCTTGAGGCCTGGCAGAGTGGGAAATGGGCCACATGTGCCACACTGCAACAGCAGAGAGGGAACTGTTCAGATGTCCCTTCGTAGGCATGCCCCTGCCCTAGATTCCATCTGCTACAGCTGCCTAGGGGCTGGGCCCACTCCCTGCCACGTGGACAGCGGAACTTCTCTGCAGCCAACTAGATCACCCAGTTATCAGTCCCAGAGGGCAGTGTGAGCGCGCGCGCGCACACACACACACACACACACACACACACAGGAAATCACAGCCAATTGTTGGCAAATGGAAAAACACAGCCAATGAGGCACTCACTGTCTTGCCTCTGTCCTTAACGGATCTGGGGGCCGGGGGTAGTGCAGACACAGCTGGTGTTTTCAAAACCATCAGGATCCTCGGGGGACGTTTTCTCATCCCCTGGGGATGGTGGCTTTGAACATGACGGCCTCACTGATCCTGCCTTGGTTCCTTCCCGAGCGGCCACCAGCCCTCAGAGACAATGGAAGCCGTCCTTCCCTCCCTCCTCCCCCTGCTACTAACAGGCTGGGTCTCATCCAAAGGGTAGATGCTCTTTCACCCAAAGCAGAAAAGGCAGCCCCAGAGGTAAGTGTGCCTCCTGCCCCACCTCCGCCCCTGGGGCCTTGGCAAGGGACAAGGGAGTGGGCCAGGTGGCATCAGGCCCTGCCTCGAGCCCTGACCGTGCAGGCCGAGACGGGGGTGTCCAAGGTGCACAGGTACGTGCAGTGAGTGGGTACAGCACCCCCAAGGGCCTCCTGAACCGTGGCGGGTGCCGGGGCAGAGACAGAGGGAAAGGAGATACCACCCGTCCCCCATCTGGGGGAGACTCTGACCTAATGGAGGGGACATAGCCTCCGTCCTTGGAGAGATGGTCCGGGAACAGGAAGGCACGGCCTCCGTATTCAAGGAACTGCCAGTCCCGGAGGACTTCCGTGGAGTGATGGAGGGGGCGTGGCTCCCGCCTCGGCGAGCTGCCAGTGCAGTGCAGGAGGCGCAGCCCACACCTGCGAACATGTTGTGCTCTGATGCGGAGATGCGGTCTTGAGGAGACATGGCCCCTTTATCCTTTATTTTTGAGAATTCCTGGTCAGGTGGCGGGGACACAGTTTCCACCTTTCGGGTACTCCCAATCTGATGGGGGAGTACAGCACCCCCCCAACTTTCTAGGAATGTCCAGTCTGATGGGATAGACAGGCCCCATCCCGCTGCTGAATTCCCCAGCCCAGTAACTGGAATTTCCAATCTGGTGGAGCAGATATGGCCTCCCACCCTCTAGAATCTTTCAATCTGATCAGGAAACTACAGCCCCCTAAATTCTGAGGTCTCTTATTTGACAGAAGAGACACAAACTGGGGTACACAGCTATCTGATAGGGGAGACAAGGCCCCCATAGTCTGAGAATTTCCAATCTGATGGAGGAGACATAGCCTGTCTATTCTGAGAATTTCCAATCTGATGGAGGAGACATTCATTCATTCCACATTCTAGGGTCTTCTACTTCCGTGTGAGAGATGTCCCCACAAAGGCTGGAAATTCCTAGTCTAATGGGAGGAGATGGCCCCCCCCTCAGTGGGGTCTCCCAGTCTGATGGGGGAAGACACAGCTCCCTGGCAGGCATTGTTGGGACACAAAACCCACCTCCACCACCACACCAGTCACTTCCTTCATCTCTCTCCTTCCCAGCACCCCAATGGGGGAGCACCAGCCAGTTGTGGGGGGACATAGACAAGTTTCTGGGGGCCGGAGGGGGCACTAGGCCCAGTGCAGGCCGAGCTGACCCCCCCATTGTTCTCTCCCCAGCGGCAGCAGTCGCCATGACAATTGTGCCTGTGCCACCCAAGCCGGCAGAGGGCCAGGACGTGACCCTGACTGTGCAAGGCTACCCCAAGGACCTGCTGGTCTATGCCTGGTACCGCGGGTCGGCCTCAGAGCCCAACCGGCTGCTCAGCCAACTGCCGTCAGGGAACTGGATCGCAGGCCCCGCGCACACGGGCCGGGAGGTGGGTTTTGCCAACTGCTCACTGCTGGTGCAGAAGCTGAACCTCACAGACGCCGGCCTCTACACACTCAAGACCGTCACACTGCAGGGCAAGACTGAGACGCTGGAGGTGGAGATGCAGATGGCCCGTGAGTGTGCGGGAGACAGGAGAGGGCCCCTCTTTTCAGACAGGGGCTCCTAGATGGGCCTTCGCCATGTCCATAAGGCTGGGACATGTAGATCACATGTGGACATGACTTCCCTTTGGACTGAGGGGGGCCTTGCTTCTTTCACCTGAGATGGGGTGGGGGATCCCCAAATGGAACTCCTGCCTCTTCTGTCAAGCTAATGACCTAGACTGGAGTAGGCAGACCTCCTCCATCAGACTGAGGGCTACTAAAAGGGGCTTCTATGCCTTCTCTGTCATCTAAGAGGTATACCACGCTGGACGTTTTAAGAGAAGGGACATAGTTTGAGGGTAGGGCATCCTTTTTTCTGCAGGCAGGTGGGCCCTAAAACATAGGAAATAGCGCTCCTACTACCATGTTGGGGAAATGGGTGAATGATGGGGGTTCACCTCCCCCATCAGACTTGAGGCAGAGAGCAAGGGTGGGTCATGCCTCGCTCTTCAGACTGGGAGAACCCAGACAATGGAGATAAGGTCTCATCCTCTGTATTACAGTAAAAGTCAGATCAGAATTTCTACCATCAGAGGGGGGGGATTTATCTCTCAAATTGAAATAGGGATGGTCTCCTCTACTAGGGTGGCGGCTTCTAGGTGGTGGGAATTGTGTCTCCTCTCCCAGACTGGGAATGCCTGGTGGTCAGGAGCAATGTCTCTTCTGTCAGACTGGGAATTCCATGACCACGGAATTGGATCGTGACCCCAATCAGACTGGGGGCTCCCAGAGGCAGGGACCATGTCTCCTCCATCAGACTGGGGGCTCCCATCAGACTGGGGGCTCCCAGAGGCAGGGACCATGTCTCCTCCATCAGACTGGGGGCTCCCATCAGATTGGGGGCTCCCAGAGGCAGGGACCATGTCTCCTCCATCAGACTGGGGGCTCCCATCAGATTGGGGGCACCCAGAGGCAGGGACCATGTCTCCTCCATCAGACTGGGGGCTCCCATCAGATTGGGGACACCCAGGGGCAGGGACCATGTCTCTTCCATCAGACTGGGAGCTCCCATCAGACTGGGGGCTCCCAGAGGCAGGGACCATGTCTCCTCCATCAGACTGGGAGCTCCCATCAGACTGGGGGCTCCCAGAGGCAGGGACCATGTCTCCTCCATCAGACTGGGGGCTCCCATCAGACTGGGGGCTCCCAGAGGCAGGGACCATGTCTCCTCCATCAGACTGGGGGCTCCCATCAGATTGGGGGCTCCCAGAGGCAGGGACCATGTCTCCTCCATCAGACTGGGGGCTCCCATCAGATTGGGGGCACCCAGAGGCAGGGACCATGTCTCCTCCATCAGACTGGGGGCTCCCATCAGATTGGGGACACCCAGGGGCAGGGACCATGTCTCTTCCATCAGACTGGGGGCTCTAATCAGACTGGGGGCTCCCAGAGGCAGGGACCATGTCTCCTCCATCAGACTGGGGGCTCCCATCAGACTGGGGGCTCCCAGAGGCAGGGACCATGTCTCCTCCATCAGACTGGGGGCTCCCATCAGACTGGGGGCTCCCAGAGGCAGGGACCATGTCTCCTCCATCAGACTGGGAGCTCCCATCAGACTGGGGGCTCCCAGAGGCAGGGACCATGTCTCCTCCATCAGACTGGGGGCTCCCATCAGACTGGGGGCTCCCAGAGGCAGGGACCATGTCTCCTCCATCAGACTGGGGGCTCCCAGAGGCAGGGAGCAGGTCCACCTCTCAGAGTGGGCATCCCCAGAGGCCCGAGAAGCCGTGTCTCTGAGGCTGGTTGTAGTTTCACCTGTTAGACCAGGAGCTGGGAACTAGGTCCCTCCCCAGTCTGGAGTCCGCCTGCCCATCAGACCAGGCACTCTCAGAAGGCATGTCCCGAGTCATGTCTCCCCCTTCACACCGGAAGCTTCCAGCGTCAGGAAATCAGTCACTGCCAGATACTCTTAGACACCCTCCCTCATCCATTCATCCATAGAACCCTGGTTTCCTGGGTCAGAGCTGGGGTGGGGGAGTGGCGTCCAGTGTCAGCAGCCACCCCCAGGAGCCTCGGAATCCCTTTTCACTTGTCTCTCTCCTCGCAGTCACCCTCCCTCCCTCGCATGAGGACCAGAGCCGCCCTCCTGACCCTGAACCTGGCCCAGGCTGAGCGTGGGGCGGGTGGGGCTGCCGGGAGGCTGCGGGGGCGGGAGCAGGAGGGATGGGGGCCCTGGGACCTGGTGCTCCGCCTCCCTCACAGCCTCCTCTGCCCCCTGCCCCCTGCTCCCTGCAGCCCCGGAGTAGCAGCGGTGCGCCATGGAGACCTCCGGAGAGAAGAGCCCTTGGCACCATCCCTGGCGCCGTCTCCCCGGAGCCAGAGCCGAGGGTGGACGCCGGACAGCGGTCTGCGTTCTCCTCCTTCCACACTAGACTTAGGATCGACAGGGCCCTACTCCTGCCCTGAGTTGTCAGAGAGCCGCAGAGGCCATAAATGTCCTGGTTAACACACGCCATGTGTCAGCCTCTCCTTCCACCACCGCCAGCCCCACCGTTTCCTGGTGGCCAAAGTTGCTTCCTCCCCCACCTGAGATGATTCTCTGCTAGGGCGTGCGCGGCACAGGGAGACCCCAAGCTCAGTGCCGCAGCCCCCGCTGCCCAGTGTGAGGGCCTCGGGCCCCTCCCACACTTCCCCAGGTTAAAGCTGATGGTCCTGCTTCCCAGTGGACTGCAGCCTGCCCCTCCCTGGGGCACCGGGCAGCCGGTTCTGTAGGACATGGCCCTCCACCACGCTGCCCCTCACTCCATCACCCGGGCCCTGAAACAAGGCTGTTGTTGGTACCAGGACAGGGAATGACCACATTTCTCAAGAGTTCCAGCACCTACCACCCTCATCCACTTAAACAAAGATGCTCCTTCGTGTCCTCCATTGTCGTGGGATTCTGCCCCCCCACAGCCCTGTGTCTCTCTTAAGTACCATCTGCACAATCCTAACAATATCTCCTTCCTTCTCTAGCCACAGAAAAGGCCCTGTGACTAAATGAATGCCAACAGAGTAGGGGCGGGGGTGAGGGGTGGAGGCAGGGGCAGTGGGGGCCAGAGAGGGGGTGTCTTCTAAGTCCTGTCACTCCCTGGGCCTGAGCCACATGCCCCACGCAGGACAGATGCGCCACTAGAGAAAACACTTAGCGTTGGTCAGAAGCAGTGATGGCAGACTCCATACTTGGGTAGCAAGGGAGGTCTGAACAGGGGTGGAAAAGCTTGCTAAAGGAATTCCCCAGAAATTTACAGGATAAAGCCTTTCTGGGGATGGCCATGTCAAGTTGGGAAGATGAGTGATGAAACACCCCCAGAATGAGGGTTATAAAATCTGGGTTATACTCCTATATTTGCCCATGGATTCATTAGACTCTAGCTTTTTCATCAGTTAAAAAAAAATGTGGATTTAGACTAGAGTTTTTCAAATCATTTTATTAGCCTCAGAGCCGAGTATATAAGCTTACATGATAGGTCCATATATTATTTAAAATAGCAATGCAATAAAAGCAGATACCAATTCAAAACTATATCCCTCTCTCTCCCCAAATTTCTACTCACTTGAAAAAAAAATTCCTTAAATTTAAATAATACTTGGATTACAGAGGCAATTAAAATGCCTAATACAACCAAGGCCAAATAAAGAGTGAAAATTCCAGACTTAGAAACCTGTGGGATACAACCAAGGCTGTGCTTGGAGGGGGAACGACAGCCTTAAATGCTTAAATGCACTGAGAGTACTCAGAAAGGAGCTCAAAAATGAACAAAACAAGCTTTTCGCTCAAGAAACTGGAAAACACCCACAAAATAAACCAAAGAAAAAAAAAGATAAGGGATTAAGAAAGGTAAAACCAGAAACAAATGAAATATAAAACAAAACATAGGGTTCATCAATAAAACCTAAAACTGGATCTTTGGAAATGCCAACATAATAGACAAACTTTTTGCAAGTGTGATGAAGGACAGAGAAGACTAATACATAAAATAAACGAGAAACTGTTCTGGTTGAACTGGAAGATCTGTCCCAGGATAGATGCCCAATGAATATATATATTGAAGGAAGAGGGTGCGCAGGCCTTGAGGACAGCTCCCCAGCAGCCACTCCCCTCTCCCCTTTCAGGATGCAGGCACTGCCTCCCATAAAAAGAGCTGAAAATGGCAGGTACTCACTTTCCCAGGATGCCTTGCAGCTATAGTTGCCACATGACCAGTTCTGGCCAATGAAGGAAGGAGAGAGCCAAAAGCCCTGTCACTGACCGCCCCACCTGTGGGGGACGCTAACAAAACTCCACGGAATTTGAAGCTATTACCTTAATTAGTGGTCTCCATTTTGAAGTTTCTGGGCAATGGCACAGTTAAAAAATGAGGATGGATTTGAGCCCATCCTCTTAATCCAGACACTACCAACCCAAAATGGGAAATAGCACCCATATTCTCCACCTGTCCCCAAGTTTACACAAGAGTCAGCAACATGTAGAAGGCTAAGCCTAGGTAAATCGGCTGGAAGTTCTCTTCTGAGAGACTGGACATAAGACAACACAAACAGCAAAGAGAGAGAGAAGACTAAGAACACAGAGAAACTGGTAAGTGTCAGAGTAGCTTAGCATGGAAAGATTATTTCTCTCTCACATAAAAAAACAGCCAGAGGCCGACTGTTCAGAACTAGAATGGTGACTCCAAGGTGTCCTTAGGACCCAGCTCTTTCTATCATTCTGCTCCATCATTCTTAGCTTGGGGCTTCCATTCTCTTGAGCACCTCGTGGTGTAAGATGGCTGCTGCAGTTGCAGCTGCCTTGTCTACATTCCAGACAGGAAGCAGAAAGGGAAAAAGGACAAAAACAGCCACACTCCAGTCTATGGACTGTGCCCCTTTTAAGGAACCTTCCCAAAGTCCCATCCTACAACTTCTACTTAAACCTGATTGGCCAGCTCTTAGTCACAGGGCCAGCCTAGCTGCAAGGGAGGCTGGGCCATGTAGTCTTATCCCTGAGTATATTGTTGCCCCAGAAAACATCAGAGGCCTGGAACCAAGACGGGGGAATGGCTTCCAGGAGGACAGTGGGCATGTCATGCCAGGCTTTGGAACTCCTACATCCCAAGGTGGACACAATGGTCTTTCCCACCTAAGCCTGAAGGGAAAGAGCCACAGCCAGAGTCACGAGAGTTTGGGAGAGACTGGGGGTGTGTTCAGCTGGGGCTTGCTCTGTGCAGCGCAGAATGAGGCCAGCCAGAGGGAGTGAAGCAGGAGGCAGCTCAGGTTTCTAGGTCAAGCCAGATCCCATATCCTCTGGGTTTGCAGGCTCAGGTGTCCCTAGGACCAAGTTTCCTGTCCCTCTAGGTACCTTTGGACTTCTCAATTGAACCCTCCACACAGTCCGATACCCTTCTTTAACAGTCCAGGAAAGAACACCAATATCCACACAGTAACGGTAGACTCGTCTGTCTCGCGCGTTCGTTTTGTCCTTTTGCATGCACATTCTCAGTGAGTTTCTACAACAATCGTTTTTAGTAGTTACTACCAGTCCCTCCACTTTACGGGAGAGGAAACAGAGGCACAGAGCGGTAAAACCCTTGCTCTGGTCCCACAGTGCCCGTGGCTGCTGAGCAGAGACGCTGGCTGCTGAGTCCCCTTCATTCCTCAGCAGGGCAGCCCCGTCAAGGGCCAGGCTCAGAGCCCAGACAGGACTGAGTCGGCCACTTTTAGCTAGGGGATTTGGGATGCGTTGCTTTTCCTCTCCTTTAAATTGTAGATCATCATAGTACCCGTCTCCTAGGATTGGCGGAAAGGGTAAATGAGTCCATACAAGTAAAGAATCTAATAGAGAAGTGGTCGATGAGTGCTTTTGACCCCCACTCCAGTGTTAGCTTGGTGATAGGCGGTGGAAAGGCCAAAAATAACAACTTTTCTGTAATTTCTTCTTCCTGTGGGACTTAATTAACCCTACTGCACAGGGTTGCCTCATTTTCTGTAATACATGATGGTCTTGAAAACTGCAGTCACTGAAAATGGCTTACAAGAAAAAATAGTAAAGTGTGTTTGCGCTTTCAGAATGACCACGTTAATCGTCAGGTTCCGGGGAACGGCCTCCCTGTGAAACGGGGCCACGTTTCCTCAGTCTCCTAGCTGTTTATTAAAAAATGCACATCCCAGGAAGTCTGTGTTGCCAGGGAAGACACCTGGAAGCTGAATTTTTTAAATAAATAGCCTGGGTGATTTTTGTCAGCTGGCAAGGTGGGAGACCCGCGTGCAGGGGCTGTTTGACAAGAAAAAGAAAGTGAGGCACCCCGAGGATGAGGCAACTTGCTTAAAGGTACTCTGCCAGGAAGGGGCAGGGCCAGGAATTGGCTCAGAGAGGGGCAGGAACTGGCCCAGGATCATACCCCAGATTTCAGACTAAAGGTGGAGACTGGGGCCCTCCTCTGCCCCAGGGGGCAAAGGGCAGCTCCCCACCCCTCCCACAAAGCCACAGAGCCCGCAGGGTGCCTGGGGCCTCTGCTGGCCTCCACTAGCCGCAGGTGGAAGGCAGAAGGGTACCCAGGCAGCCTCGCCTCTCCGTTCCCATTCCTCCCCCCACCCCAAGATGCCTTTTCTCAAGTGACCTTTCTGGGCAGGGAGGGTAGAGGTGGGGCGGGAATGACCTTGAGGCCAGAGCACACAATGGCCCAGTCACTGTTTGGAGCCCTGCCAGGCAGAGGAAGGAAACCTGCCCTGTTTTCCTCCTCTGGGCTGGAATGTTGATTCAGGATGGAGAGAGGAGGAGGGTGAGAAGGGAGGGCAGGGCAGACAGGGAGGAGGAGGGAAGAGGATGGGGTGCAAGGAGGAGGTGAGGGAGGAGGAGGGAGGAGGAAGGAGAAGTATGAGAAGGAGGAACGGAGAGCTGGGAGAGGTGGGGTGCCTGGCACCAGGGTGCCAAAGCCAGACTTTGGGAACCAAGCAGGGGGACTGGTCAGCTCCTCCTGCTACACAGCACAGAGTCCAGAGAGGGCATCCAGCAGCCTGAGGTTGCACAGGACCCAAGCAGCCAAAGGGCCTCACCTGTGCTGCTAACCACAGGCAGGAGCTCCCTGAGATCCCACAGTGACCTTCAGCAGCAGATGTCATCCCAGCCATTCCTCAGAAGAGGATACAGAGGTCCCCAGAGTAAGGTCACATTTCTGGAATCATCCCCCCTATGGATCACAGCCCATATCTTATCCCCTCTCACTGTGCTGTGACCACACTGGCCTCCTGTTTGAACAACCCACGCAACTCCTGCCTCAGGGCCTTTGCACTGGCCTTTGGCACTGCCAGGAATGTTCTTACCCTAGATACCTGAATCACTGCATTCAGGTCTCTGCTCAAAAGTCACCTCCTCAGAGGGGCTCCTGAAACACCTGATGTTGTCTAGCTTTGTTCTTCATAGCATTTATGATGTACATGCCCAGCTTTACATAGATGATATATTTCTTTCTTTACGTTCTCGTTATCTGTCTTC